TCGTACAAGAAATATCCTGAAGCCCTGGTATCATTCCCGAGCCCCGAAGCCCCGAAGATCCCGAGAAGTGAAATTTCCAAGCCGAAGCTTTGCCCGCGAGAAGCCCGGTTTTTGTGAAGATCTTCCAGATCTACCCAAGAATACTACTTCTACAAGTCGTAGTGTTGTCCGATCATCTTCTGGTCAAGTGAGTGTATAGTCACTTTCGTCTTACACATAGATATTAAGTATTTTATAAACTACGTGCTATGTGTATATATATTGTTGTTTATATAAGTGAGTGTGTGGTTACTTTCTTCTAACACATAAATATGAAGTATTTGTTTTGAAATGCGTGTTATGTGTTTATATACTATTGTTTATTTGAGATAAGTGTGGAATGGGTGTTTTATATATATGGTTTTTAAATGAGTTAAACCGTATATATATTTTATATCTACTAATATGTTGGGTAGAACATGAGTAGATGAGATAGTTGGTATGTGATAAAATGATGAGGTAAATGACGAGGCATGTAAGATACTTAAAGAATAATATTGGTAGATGCACCAATTAGAGAATGTCATAATACTAGCAGATGCACTTGAGAATAAAATTGGTAGATGCACCAAATAGAGAATGTCATAATACTAGCAGATGCGCTTATAGGATAATCCTGGAAGATGCACTTATAGGATAATGTCGGCAAATGCGCCCAAAAGAGAATGTCATAAACCTGGCAGTCGCACCTCATAGTGTATGACATAATCCTGGCAGAGGCGCTTAAAGGATGATGTTGGTAGATGCACCTTATGTAGCAATGGATTTTGTGTCAATTCCTTAGGTCAATCCTTAAGAATGAATGAATGAATGATAGTTGAATTCTTGGGGTAAAACCTTGAGAAATAAAGAAGATAATGGGGATATGTAATTGGGTTGAATATTTCATGGTTGAATATAATAATTATATTATTACGGGTCGAAAACCGTATATACTCACCAGGCTCCCAAGCCTGACCCACTCAGTTTTCTTTGTATCACATGTATCAATACGAAGACATATTTCACTGAGAGATTAAAGGAGATGTAAATCATTAGTGTAAATAAATGTAAGTTTTGTTTATGCTTATGTGTCTGTATCGGAACATGACATCCCAAGATTTTGTTATATAATGAAAATACTTTTCTTTAAGAAATGCTTTGATAAATTCTTATCATATTTTGTTTTGGGGACAAATTCCGCAACAATTTTCTTTAAACGATTACTCTGATTTTAAAAACAAAGCATAAACAAATCGGTCTTTTCTGGCCGTGAAATTGGGGATGTCATAGTTGGTATCAGAGCGCTAGTTTAAGTGAACTAGGAAATTGTAGAATTTCTAGACTTAAACTTAGAATGCTAAATGAAGATTGTAAGATGTGTGTCTGTTATATTTTAGACACGAGCACTAGTTTATTTTAGGAAAGTTGCCTAAAATTCTTTAATGTGACAAATGTTATATGTTGCCATATATGATATTATTTGTTCGGATCTATGGTTTGTTGCCGACTGGAGCGGGAAACCTTATGTGTTTAGGATTCTAAGCGTGCGTCTACGATATTAGAACTAGCATATAAACGTTTCAGAGTGATAAGGATGATTTGAATATCTACCATGAATGAAGATCTAAAAATCACATTATTCGGTGTATAGATCAAGAATGGAAAGAACAAGAAGTGGAGCTGGAAAAGTGAACGAAAACAGGAATCAACCACCTGTGGTTGAGCAAGCACCGGTTATAACAGCTACACCTGAGCCGATAACAATGGTTGGAGTACAATTGATGATTCAAACGATGTTGGATCGTCAGATGGAAGAAACTAGGCATCTGCTTCGGCAGAATCTCGAAGAACTGTCAATACCAATTGAAGAGCCCGAAGTGAATGGAAGGCAGTCAGAAGGAGGTAACTTCAGTGGGGTGATTGGTCAAGCTAACCCACCGATTGTTAGACAGAATCATCACGATGGAGGAAATGATGGCCTTGGATGCAAGTATAAAGACTTTTTGACTTGCAAACCATCGACCTTCACTGGCAAGGAGGATCCGATCGGAGTCATGGATTGGATCTCGGAGATGGAGCTAGCTTTCATAACTTGTGGCTACAAGGGCAAGCTACAAACCACATATGCAATGCGTCAGTTCAGAGGTGGCGCTGTTCGCTGGTGGAACACTCTGGGGAAGACCATAAGCCCAATGAGCCACTGCAACTGACTTGGGTAGAATTTTTGGTGCAATTCAAACGAAAGTTCTGCTCGGCCCAAGATCTGCTAGAGCTAGAAAACAAATTCCTGACGTTAAAGAAGGACAACATGTCCATTGATGAATACACCAATGCCTTCACAGATAAGATGGAATTTGCTCTATGCATTGTCCCAGACGAGCTGGCGAAAATAGATAGGTATGTAAAGGAACTACCATAGGAGTACATTGTGCCAGTACGCCAGACACTTACCCTAGAGGCAGCCATCTGGGTTGCCAAGTCTATTGAAGAAATGATCAAGGGCAGGACCGCCAACAAGGTCGAAATTGGTGAGAAAGGAAAGTTTGAGGGATCCCCAAGGTCCGACAAAAAGCTAAAATTCTCGAAGTCTATTTTGAAGAAGTTCGAAGAGGTAGGAGATGAAGCAAGATGGTGCGATAAGTGCAAGAAGAAGCACTCATGAAAATGTGGTGCGGATGTGACATATTTCAAGTATGGGAAGCATGGGCACTACGCTGATGAATGTATATTTAACAAAATGGTAATGTAATGAAGAGGGGCACTTCAAGCAAGACTGCCCAAAATGGAAAGGATCTATGAAACAAAATGCGCCACCAAAGGCAAGAGCATTCCAAATGATCCTCAACGAAGCAGACCATAATGCGGGAAATCAAGGATGAGGATTTATATCCAAGGATCAAGTTATGAAGTAGCAGTACAAATAGTAGCTTATGATGTAGCCTATTAGAGGCATAGTATAGGGTGAACTTGAATTTTTGTGTAATCGTTTCAAGTTTTGATATAAACCCTGGTTTTGATATTTATGTGATATTTAAGGTTTTAATACCTGGTGTGTTAAATGATTGGGTGATTTTTGTATAGTGACTTGGTTCGACTGAGTGACAATACCTGGGACGAGTATGAGTAGGTGTGAAAGGTAGTAGATGCATATACTACCGGAAGCACAGGACACGCACTTGGATCAGGGAAAGTCACAAGGTTACCAAGAAGCTAGTGATTGATCTCGTTTCATTCAAGTATGTCGTTACCATTGTTTCGGTAGTGATTAAGAAGATGATTGATATTCTGACCCTAGCGGTCATATCAAATTAAGTCCGACTAAGACGAGTTTGTTACGTGGTTCATAGAACCAATTTCGAGGTAGTATCTGACTCAAGTCAGAAGATTAAAATCAATGCGATCGATAGCATCACGCTCGTTGTTAAGGAAGCCTGTAGCTAGAAACGCTACATGTAAAAATGTGATTATATCACATTAGAATATGAAGGAAGGTATATTCCATTCCGGAATTTGACTCTATGAGACTTGAGTCTAAGCGTTGCATCATACGATGAGAGGTCATCAGGACACGACCCATCGGTCTGTTACAATAGATAAATGAATGTATTTATCCTAAGAAGAAGATGGAGTCCACAATAAGGATTTATTTTATAAATTGAAGGTTACCATTGAAAGTCCAACATAGTATGAAGAGCAGATGTAAAATTGAACATCACGGTTATTAATTAGGATGGAAAGTTACGTATGGAATCATTATTCAAGCGTTGTTTCCTTGATAATTCTGGAACGTAATCATCCTAAGGGGGAGATAATTGTAACGCCCGTAGATTAGGGTTACTCAATTAAGAGACGATAAACGACAAAAATGAATTTTTGATAGAAGATTATTTAGAATGAATAATCTTAACTAAGTTTTAGTATATGTCACAAGGTTTCCATGCATATAAAGAACGCCGAAATCCGAGTTATAACGAAGAAGTTATGACCTGTCGAAGTTTCGCGACAGAACCGACACAACGCTGAATGACGTAAAAAGTGAATTTACGTTAGATTTATATTTAGCCTTAGTGGTCTAAACAAAAGTCATAGAGTTCGTTAAACCATGAGCGTGCATAAAAAGAACGTCCGAATCTGACTTCGTATGAGAAAATTATGTTTTTTCTAAGTTTCGACTTAGCGATATACAACCTGAATACTCAATTTGAGATCAAGCGGTTTTTATCCAAAACAATCTAAACGAGAATCGAAGATCTTGTGGATAGTAGTACAACGGTAAAAAGACAGACGAAACCAGACGTCGGATGAAGAAGTTGTGAATTTATGACGGAGTTTTCTGTCCCGGCCTACTAAAAATAATATAATAAAAATAAAGTCAAAATTAGCCAACGAAGTCTAAATGAAAGTTGTAGATCATAATCTCACCTACGCTTGGATATAAAGAACGTCGAAAACGGAGCTCGTACGCGAAAGTTATGAATTTTTGAAGATCGTGGCACACATACCAAAGCTTATCTGAAGCGTACGCCCAACGTAACCAAGATTACGCCCAGCGTACTGAGTACGCCCAACGTACTTGGAAATTATGCCCAACATAAACCTAGACCCAGAAGCCTATAACTAGAAACCGAGATCAGACATTTTCTTTGCTCATTTTCTTATCTCTCTCTCCCGTTTTGTCTCGATTTTCGTACAAGAAATATCCCGAAGCCCCAGTGTCATTCCCAAGCCCCGAAGCAAGCCCTGAAGCCCCAAAGATCCCGAGAAGTGAAATTTCCAAGCCGAAGCTTTGCCTGCGAGAAGCCCGGTTTTTGTGAAGATCTTCCAGATCTACCCAAGAATACTACTTCTACAAGTCGTAGTGTTGTCTGATCTTACACATAGATATGAAGTATTTTATAAACTACTTCCAGACCATACCCTCTCTAAAAAAATCCTTTGACCAACACCTTAGATCCTTGTCTATGAGATAGTCATTAGCCCTTCTTTCTAAGGACTTAATCTCATTCATTGCTGCTTCAAACATTGGTACAATTGTTGCATTCACAACCCTCCAAAATGGTTTAAAGTATTATTCTCCTGTAAATTTTTTGTAGAAATTAGCTAGAATGTGTCTAGCACATAATCTATGCTCCACATTTCCTTGACAACTTCAAATAATCCCTTATTCAAACAATTAAATGATTAGTTAGTTAAATGATCAAAACAATTAAAGTTAATTGAAAAAAATAGAATGATTACCTTGTGGTCATCTGAGAGGATTGTAATGCCATGACCATTCCCCCCTCCAATATCTTCCATCAGGTTTTCCAAAAACGATTTCCATGTCCTTTTGTTCTCAACATTGACTACTGCCCAAGCTAAGGGATAGATGTTATTATTAGCATCTCTACCCACTGCTGATAGGAGCTACCCTCTACAAACACCCTTAAGAAAGCAACCATCAACCCCAATTACCTTTCTGCATCCATCTAAGCACCCATCCATAACACCTTTAAAGCTAACATAAAACCTATCAAACACCACAATATTATCAGGTTGTGGCTCCAAGAACACCTCAACATGTGAACCTGGATTAGCCCTTCTGATTTCAACTGCATAATCCTATAATTTTGGCATAATGTTCTTTCAAACTTCCCTCAACTTCAGACAATGCTAACTTTTTTGCATTCCTACACTGCCTAACACTCACATTAATGTTGGATCTCTTAGATACTAGGGATTTCATTTTCCTCAAACTCAGTTTAGGACTCTCCAAAACATCATTCATAAATTGTTTCCCTATCCACTCATATGTTACAATTGACCCAAGTTTGAATGCCCTAGAGCACTAATGCTCTGTTATAAGAGACTTAATTTGAAAAGTGTGTTCCACTTTCATCCAGGAAGCATACAATCTAAAAGGGTATGTTGGATTCTTTCCTTTACAACACCTAACTAGCAACCTACTCTTGTCATTCTTTTCATACCACAGATCAATAACCATTTGCTATAGCATAACAACTAAGAGAGTATTTAAGTTCAGTAGTAGTTGAGTATTTCATACCTAATCTAGGCTTTATCTCATTCCATTCCTGAGTATGATCATGTCTTGGGTAGATAGGTTGTATTGCATTATGATCTTCTTCAACCAAGTCATCATTCTATATTGGACAAATTTTTTTGAGGAATTGATCATTGAAGTTTCTTTTGAGAGATATAACTTCATCATCCTCTACATGTTCAGCTTTCAGACCATCTTCTAAAATGGAGTCAACATCATCAATAGAAACCAAATCATCATCTTCAAGGTCTGCTTCTTCTTCCCGAATCCAATCAAACAAAGGTTGCATGGAAAGTCCAAAATCAAAGTTTTTCTGGGTTTTTAGTCCCTAATACACTTGAAAAGTCGATTTTGCCATTTTCATTTCTTTTTTCTATTTTCTTTATTTATTGTGGTATTTAAATAATTAAGAATAAAAAATAAAAAATAAAATCTCACCCAACCCTCTCTCTCTCTCTCTCTCTCTCTCTCTCTCGTCTGCAACCAATACCACTCATATTTATTGCTTTTTTCTTCAACTTTCAAGAACACCGTTGTATCTTCCTCGCTTGCATCATCTCTCGACTTCGGCTCCGGTGATGATTTTCTCAACAAAACCCTGAAATCGAAATGAAATTTAAAGGCAAGATATTGATTTCTCAACAAAACTTTGTCTCCGTCTTCCTCCATCTCGATTTAGGAACATCAATTGCCAAATATACAACACTATCATCTTCTTGAAATCTCCAACCTATTTTTTTAATCGATTTTGATCTGGAAGCCTTGAAATTTTGGAATCGAGTTTTGAACCAATTTCTATTCGTCGGGGCTCTATGGGGGAAGATGAAATCTAGAGTTGAGTTACATAGTAAAATCGGAGGTCCAAGAACACGCAGATCCAAAATCAGAGGTCCAAAAAAAGGGATTTTTAGAAGAAATCAAGGAATCTGTGTGTATATATGTTCTTGTGAGTTTCAGAATTAGACTCCAAGAAATTTGTTGCTGCTGTGTTTCTTATGTTTTCCCCCCTTCTTCTTCCATCTCGATTGTTGTTTCCATACTCAAAGGGAATGAGGCATCGGAGCTGCTATCGCTTACCACCCGTCACCGACCACCACCTTGTTGCTGCCACTGTTGTGAACCATCGCCACCTCCGAATGCTGCTTCCGTCGACCCTCTCTATCCAGCCACCACTCTAATTTGAAGGTGATTGCCTTCCCCCTCTTATTTGCTTCGTCCGATCGAGATAAGAGACTCACTGTGATGAGATTGTTTCCAATCGATGTGGGTGTTTCGCGTTAGAATGTGTATGTCTTTGCGTTTGCGTTTCAATTTCTTTCTATTGCTTGATTTTGGATTTTGTTCATCAATTTGGGGATATCAGAGATGAATTCCATGAGATTCTTGAGAAGACGAAGAGAGAGAGAGAGAGAGAGAGAGAGAGAGAGGGTGGGGATACTTTTTTTTTCTTTTTTCTTTATTTTTTAATTAAAACAGTATTAGAATAATTATAAAAAATACAAAAAAGAAAATAAAAAGGTATAATCATCTTTTTAAGTTTTTTTGGACCAAAAACCTAGAAAAACCTTGATTTTGCACCTTCTATGTAAGCTGAAAACTTTTTGGACCTCATCCAAAGGTTTTTGAAAACCACAATGACCAAATTTGCAGTTTTGTCTTTTGTAAATAAAGTAGTGAAATTATATATATATATATATATATATATATATATATATATATATATATATATATATATATATATATATATATATATATATATATATATATAGAAAGAGAGAGAGAGAGATGGGGAGAGAGGGAGGGAGAGAGGTTCCATCGATCCTATCGCTAATAAATATAATAAATAATAATGATGATTTTGAACTTTCGGATTTTAAAAAAAAAAATCTTTTAAGTTGTTAGTATAATGGTTTTGATATGTTATAACATTTTTGTTTTTTATATTTAAAATTTATATTATAAATAATTATTTTTTACAAAAAAAAAAAATTTAAAAAAAAAAAGTTTAGTCTAAAAAAAAAAAGAAATTTAGAATAATAAAAAGAAAACACAAAATCAATTTGGGTGGGGGGAGAATGCAACCCCATCTGGTTCATGCCATTTATATTCATAGATACTTTCCTCTAAAAAATCATTCTCATTTTAAAAAGACTATTGATTTATTAAATTTTCAAAAAATCTATTGTATTAAAAGAAAATATAAAAATGCTTTTGAAACTTTTTTTTTTTATTATCTTCGAAAAATAGTTTTTTATAAGCGACGCTCCTAAGTTTTGAAAAGTATCTTATGTTCATCTAAAATAACTACAATACATATATAAACTAATACAATTTTTTTTCTTAAAATTAATTTTACAGCTACCTATTATCACATAAACTATTTTTTTATCACAACATCAACTAATAAATATTTGACAAAACTGCAAAAATGGTCCTTAATGCTATGGATTTTTTTGGGGTTTTAGTCCAAACCCTGCCTTTTTTGGATTCATGATCATTTTGAACGAATTTTGTTGTGTTTTTAGTCCCTCTAAATAGTGAAATGACTGTAATATCATTGGGATATTTATTTTCTATTTTTCTTTCATTTCTTCTTAAATTTAATACTAATTTATTTATTTCAATAATTAAAAAAATAAGAAAAGGCCCACCTTCTCTCTCCTGTGAAAAAGATAGTCAAATTCCTCCACCCACTTCTTATTCCCCAGAATTCTATGCTTTCTCTCATTACTACCGACGTTCCCTTCTCCGACTGATCCATTCTTAGTTTGTTCTTAAACATAAACACACAACCAGTTTTACATAAAACACACGCCATATGAACCAAAATGAAGATGAATACAAGAGATCTGAAAAACATGAACCAAAATGTTCAAGAACTCAAGAACTCGGATTCGAGATGCTTGTTCTTCAAGGATTTTACAAATTTCGACTTCGATCATAAACAAAAAACACATACATACACCAACCCTTTACAGACATCGATCGAGCTTTATCCCCCAACAATCAATTACAGACATCGATCGTCGAAGTTTCACTTGGGTTTGGTTTTCAGACGGTCGTGTTCAACTGTGAGTTTGAGTTTGGTTTTTAGACGAAGAGTATGAAGGGGGGAGAGTCTGAGTCGTGATCTTATTGGTCATCGAAAACTGGGTCTGTTTGTGTTGATGGGTTCATGTCATTGCAGAGGGAGGTGTTAAGGCGTTTCTTGTTTGTGGTGGTGGTTCTGTTTGTGTTGGGGATGGATATCACCACAGGAGATGTGGGGTAATCAAAATTGGGGTTTATCCTCATTGCCTCCCTCATCTTCATCATCTACAACTCTGATTTTCCTCTCCAACCTTTGAATTTTCTCCCCTGTGATTAGCTAGCTTAACCTCTCCAACATCCGATTTCCTCTTCAATCCTTGACGCCTCCATCACCTTCATTATCTTCAACTATGTCACTTCCTGCTTCATCATACTCTAAAAATCACATATGCTCACCAAACTCTTCATCTAAGAACGATGATCTATATAGTAGTGACAAGATCTGGTATAACCTGTGTGTCGAAATTCTTGAAAGAGATAAGAGATGATTGATGTTGTTGAGGCTAGATCTGATCAATTTTTGTGTTTGTTTAGGTAAATATTCTAAAGATGATACTGGAAAACTCTTGAAGGTTTGAACAATTTTAATGATTCTGGAATGGAATATGTATAGTAAAACATTTTGATGAAGATGATGTTGTTACCCGATATATATATATATATATATATATATATATATATATATATATATATATATATATATATATATATATATATATATATATATGAACCCAAATTAATTAACTATTTCCTTTTTTCTTTAAATTAAAATATAAAAAGTATATCAGAAAGGGTATTTTAGTCTTTTCAATTTTTCGAGTGACCAAAATCACAAGTAAATATGATCAAAATTCAAAAGCTAAAAATTACGGGGTTTGGACTAAAACCTTAAAAAAATTCATACTACGATTATTTTTGTAATTTTGTCTAAATATTTCTATTAAAAAAAAAAAAAAAAAAAAAAAAAAAAAACCATTTGTGTCGGATTAAATAAGTAAATCACAAACGCCTTTTAAAACTCCATATTTTGAAAGTAAAATGACCAGAAGGGGCCTTTTTAACCTGTAATCAAATATACTGACATTGTTGCTTCTCCATCGACCATTACCGCCATCGTGCTTCTTCTGTTCCTCACCGTCGATTCCATCACTTTCGTCGATTTGCTTCCACAATCGATTCCTGATTTTGAACTGCAACTATCGATTTTAGGGGTTAAAAAATCAAGATTAGAAGGGAGACGCACAGAAAGTAGGAGAAGGCCTGTTCATCTTCTTGCTTTCTATTCCATCACGCATCCCGAAAGCCAACACTAAATCCGACATCAAACTCACTAGTAACTGTAAGTAATTTCAAATTATTGTTTCTAGTACCTGTTGCTGAACCAATCTGGCATTCTTTTTATAATTTTTTCTTAAATAATGATTGCAAGAAAGGCACACAAGCTGTTTGATAAAATGCCTGAGAGAAGTGTCTCAATTTTGGGTTTCCTGGTGCTCATTCATTGATGATGCTCTATAGTCTCTTCACTATAGTTTAAAGTTCTCTGCAATCTTGAACGAATTGTCGGGAATTGTTAACATTTTGGGCTTGCATATGGATCTGTGCTTTAGCAAGAAGTTTATAATCATGAACATGTGCATGAATATCACAAATTATTAAAATAATTATTGAAGTTGATAAAATTTATGATGTTATTAGTTTAAGTTGCGTGAGTTTGAATGCAGGCATGGCAATCACAAGTGTGAGTTGCAATGTTTCCATACAAACAAGAATGAGTTTTACAGATTACATGGGATTTCCAAACTGCCCGACACTTGATTTCGGGCAGCCGGGCAGAGGAAGTTCATGTAGTCGGATTCCAATGAGAGTAACAATGAGAGACCGAAGCAAGAACAGGAAACCATTGCAAAAAGGTAGGAATCTTAGCATTGAAGCCATTCAAACAATTCAAGCACTCAAAAGAGCTCCAAAATCTGTAGAAAAACAACAACAAGTTATTGATTCCAAGTTTAGTAGATTACTCAAGTTTGATATGATGGCTATCCTCCGTGAACTCCTTCGCCAAGAAAATCCCATTCTTGCCCTTATGGTCAGTTGAATTTATAAATTATAAACTTTCTTTCAATCTCAATTTGTAACCATGTTATGCATAACTAATAATATATACTTTTCTTGTTGTAGGTTTTTGCAGAAATCAAAAAGGAATATTGGTATAAACCACAAGTGTCATTATACGCAGAAATAATCTCGGTTTTGGCAAAGAATAACATGTATGATGACGTGGATATGATTTTTCTTGAATTAAAAACCGAAAAAGGTAGATTAGAGGGTAAAACCGAGGGGTTTAATTTGTTTTTGGAAACTTTGATGAGTTACAACATCACTAGACTTGCCATGGATTGTTTTGAGTTGATGAAAGAGGTTGGTTGTGAGCCTGATAGATCAACGTTTAGGTTATTAGTAAGTTATTTAGAATCAAAAGGAGAAATTAGCCTTTCGGAAAGTATTAGGCAAGAAGCTCGGAAATATTATGGTGATTCTATTGAGTATGTAGATGAGCAAAATGAGATGACAATCAGTTAAGGTGTTTGTTTCTTTTTTACTTAATAGGGAAATACTTAATCTGATAAACTGTATATGAGTGTTTCTTTGTTTATTGTTTTTTTAGTAGAGAAATAACAACTTAATAGAAAGAGTAACTTACATGAATGGTCCTATGGTTTGGGATAATTTATGCGTTTGATCTCTAACTTATTTTTTTAACTCTGAAAGCTTTTGTTTTTGTTACGCATTTGGTCTCTACTATTTGTTTTTGTTATGCACTTGATTCCTACTGTTTGTTTTTGTTACGTGTTTGATCCCTATCTTACCTAAAAGACTATTATTTAAGTAGGAAAAAATGGTGGGGTAGGTAAGGTAAGATGAAGGGGGTGTGTTTATTTAAATAAATTAAAAAATCAATGACAAAATAGTTTTTTTAGGTAAGACATGGACTAAACGCATAACAAAAATAAAAAGTGAAGACCTTCCGAGTTAAAAAATTAAGTTAGGGATCAGATATACAAATTATCCTAAATCATAGGGATCATTCCTGTAATTTACTCTGAAAACGGAAATGCAGAAAAGGGTTTATGTTATCCCTATGTATATAAAGTTTAAAAACTCAACATTAAATGAAACATGTCAAATGGGTCCAATGTTAACAAATCACATTCAAATGATAAAAGCAAGACAAATTTCTTGAAAGAATGGGCCATGTGATTTCTATTTTATGCGGCTAAAATCCGAAGTTTTAAAAAGTTATGGTCATTTTTTTCTTGTTTGTTCTGGACCTTTGAGAATATTTAATTTTTCAGAACCAGCCCTGAAAACCCCCATACATACCTTGTATATGTAACACCGTAAATTTTCAAACAAAAATTTCATTTTAAATTCACATAAGTCTCATTAGCACAATCACAAAAATCTCATTAACATCAAGTTATCAAAACACATGTTTAAAAATTATTTGACACAATCCAGATCCTCCAAAAACATATCTCTAACTTGTGTGTGTGTAGAATCACGTTGGTGTCTTCCTGTGATCTTGAGAGGTACCTGAAACACATAACACAGTAAGCACGAAGCTTAGTGAGTTCCCTAAAATATCATATGCACAAATAATAAGCCTCCCATGGCTACAACTCGGCATGGACCCTCCAGTCTCATGTGTCTCGATAAGAACCCTCCGATCTCACGGTTCGGTATAGACCCTCCAGTCCTGTGTCTCAGTGAAGACCCTTCAGTTTCACAACTCGGGTGGACCCTCCGGTCCTAACTCAGTCAAGCTCAGAATAATACACAACATAAATCACAAAGACATAATGTATAACACATAAGACCCTCCGGACACACAAGGATTACCACTCTAGGTAAAGTATAATGAGAAGACTCACCTCGTAAGAAAATCGGATAACCTCGAACTCAAATCACCGGTCTAGCCTTTACCTAGCACATACGATAATTATCTCTAATTAATAACGGATCTCAAAGAAGCTAGACTAACCCTTCTACAGACTCACGGAAGGATAAAAGACCATTTTACCCTTCCATGGCCTTAATAGTTCACAAATTGACCAAACCCTAAAAGTCAACTAAAAGTCGATGCGCGTACAAGCCCTCTACATTGGGCGTACTCTTTCTGCATACATGGATCGGGGATTCTCGACCCTACGCTGCACATATTGGAATTACGCTCAGCGTACACCCCAGTTTTGCTCTTCCTACTCATTTGGTCTTAATCCGTTAAGACCTTAGCTCAAATCTCAGATCTGGACTCCCTAAAGGCTCATACTCCATAAAGTCTACGACTTTAAGCCTTTGCATGGTTGATAAAGTCACAAACACCAAAACTCTCACTCTCAATTCTCAAAAATGCTCTTATCTCATGCATGGGTTGATTCAAACGTCCAAGTCTCGATTTTTATGACTATACATCACTAAAAACACTCAAAGGAGCTGATAATAAGCTTTGGAGCTCAATATCTCATAAAGCATTCAACTTTGGGACCAAAACCCTAAAATAAACTAAAAAGATGCATAAATCAAAAGGGTGAGAAAGCTTTGAGCTTTATACCTTTAACTGAAGCTCCAACCACAGATAAGCTCAGATCCAAAGCCTCCACTCCCACTCCTTCCTCTTCAAAGCTCATTCTTCACTCCGAAGAAACACAAGAACACTTAATAGCTCACAAATCGACACACAAGCTCAAGGGACAAGAAATGAGGCCATCATGTCCTTTAAATAATGACACACCCTAAATTAGGGTTTTCATTATGGGCCCAGTACGCCCAACATACCCTCTAGTACATCCAACATACTAGGTGGCTTCCGCGTCAAAAAACACGCATGAGTATGCTGACGTACCACGCGTACTCATTTACCACATTTTTCTCATATAAGGGCCAAACTTGACAATCACCAAAAGAACAATGGTTTATAAAGTATACATGGTCTTGGGATGTTAGAGTATATATACAATTATGGAGAGAGAGAGAGAGAGAGAGAGAGAGAGAGAGAGAAAGAGAGAGATGGCTTTTGATCAGAGGTGGTGCAAGGTGGGTGTTGGTGAAGGCGGTGGTGGCCAGAGGTGACTTCTTGATCTGCATGGGCGTAATATGTCCAATGCCAATAACGACGACAACGTAACTAATCTAGTGTTGGTGGTGGGGAGGTATCTCCGATGAAGGAAAAAAGAAAGGTAAGCATATGAGTTTTGAAGAAAAAGAACAAAATAAAGGAGACTTAAGAATGGATTAAAAGTGCACTGACGATACTATTTTTCTATTTTATAATTAATAAATATTTAGAGAACTGTAAAAAAAAAGTTTAATAATGTTTTTAGTTTTGATAGGGATCAAATCAACAACAAAACTATTTTAAATCGACCAAATTTATAACTTTTAAAAAATGTGAACTTTATTCACATAAAAAAATTAAAAATTAAAAAATTAAAAAAAAAAATTGTAATTTTGTGGAACATCAATCATTGTTTTATAAAACAAAACTACCCTAAAAGAAGGATGATTTTTGCAATTTTTTCCAAAATCAATTGTTTTATAAAACAAAATTAAATTATTATATTGATACTATAAGCATTATCAAATTTATTTACTTTCGTTTTTTGCAAAACTCAAATAAAGCCAGAAAAAATGTTCGGTGTGTCGACGGTCGACTCAATCTTGTATAAAAATAAGGATGAGGAAAATCACAATATTTTAAAAACAAGGAAGATGATTTATGCTTGAAAAAAATAAAGAAAAGGGCAAAAGGGAAAAGGGAAAAGGGAAAAGTTGGCAAGGAAATTGAGAGGCTAAGAACTCATTGCGGATGGCCCCAGGATGAAAGTGAAACATGTGCATCTCAATAAAAATTCAGAACACACCCTCGTCGACTAGTTATAACTTATAACGTGTTCATTGCATAATTTTCGTTGGTAAAATCCAATAACAATATTGAAGTACTACGATTAGGGGTGCAAACGAGCCGAGTCGAGCTCGAGTCTGATCATGTTCGACTCGGGCTCGTTTAAGTTATATGAGGCTCGAGCTCAAGCTCGGCTCGATTCGAGCTTTCTTTTACTGAGCTCGGCTCGAGCTCGTAAAGAGTTATACAAGCTCGGCTCGAGCTCGTTTACTAATACCCAAAATTCATAATTCCCCTGATATGTTTTTGTTTTAATATATATAAATAATAATAAATAATATTATATAAAAGCTCGTTTAGGCTCGCGAGCCTAATCGAGCTTTGTGACATAGGCTTGAGCTCGAGCTCGTTTAATAAACAAGCTTAATATTAAGCTCGAGCTCGGCTTGGGCTTGTTTAAAATCGGTTTCGAGTCGAACTTTTAACGATCCGATCTCGAGTAGCTCACGAGTAGCTTGGCTCGTTTGCACCCCTAGACTATGATAATTAAAATTTCGATGAAGAGAATCCTAATATATTAGAATATCAATGTTTTAAAAACCGGTTTTTTAGTTGAACCGGTATAATGATCGGTTCCCGGTTAAACCGGTTCGACCGCCGGGTCAACCGGTTTCAATATTTTTCATGTTTTTTCTTACTTTCTTACACATACATACATATATAAATCATGAATTTGATGTTTACAAGTCAAATATTAAAATACAAATAAAAATAAGTTGTAGGTAAATCAAAATATATTAAAATAACACATAACTATAAGTTTTACTGTTTTACATCAATCTATATACGTCAAAAAGAAAATAAATTATAATACCGAAACAAAATATAATTTTAGATGAATACAAACACATTAAAAAACTTTATAACATTTATCATATGTTTTTATTTAGAGAAACTAAATATATTTGAAAAAAAAAATCTTCAAAGTTTATTATGTAAATGTTTTTTTATATGTTTTTATTCGATTTAACCGGTTTATTTTGACCAGTTCAACTGATTTTTCTAAAAACTAGCCGATTCAATCCGGTTCAGAAATTTACATAAAACTAATGATAGTTGAACCGCTCCCTCTCCCGATTCCCGGTCCAACCGGCCGGTTCAAACCGGGTTTTAAAACATTTTAGAATATTAATAAAACAAATGCACTTTAAGCCGGTGTGCTATTGGATTTAACAAGGAACATAATTTCAAAGCCAAAGCAAAGGTATTCCTTTTTTCTTGAGTTTTTTTTAAGGAAGGAAATAGAAGGAAATGGAAGGAAATAACAAAAAAATGTATGGTCTTAAGTTTTTTTTTTTAAAGTATAGGAAGGAAAGAAAATTGAAGGAAAAGAGTGTTCTTGAGTTTGTTTTTTTTAAGAAGGGAAAGAGAATAAAGAAAAGAAAATGTGTTCTTGATTTTCAAATAAGTGAGAAAAAGAGAGAGAATGGAATGATCGGAAGAGGGTAGGAAAGAAATATTGCATTCATTTCTTTCTACTACCTTTTTTCCTTAAAAGAAAATAAGTGCGTTAGAATAAACATTTGGAGGGTGATGTATAAAGTACAAACTCATGCTATCTTTTCACATTTTTTTACATCTTTTTCATTCCAATATTAACTCTCCAAAATAGGTTCGATGAGGTCAGACAAAAATGTGTTAAGCAATGGGGTGCGAACGCCAACTCTAATACCATGTAAGATATATGAGTCCCCCAAAGTAACTCTCCAAAACAGCCTTTATGGAGAGATATGAGACTTCAATATATATAGAAGCACAATAGACCATGTCACACCAATGTAGGCTACTCTAATACTCCTCTTAGAATGGATGTTCAATGAGGTCAGACAATGATGTGTTAAGCTATGGAGTGCGGGATGCCTTAAGATATATATAGTCTATATTAACTCTTCAAATAAATCTTTATGAAGAGATGCGAAACTTCAACATATATAGAGACGTAAAGAACCCTAACACGTAAATTTTAAGAAAACGTTAATCAATTGATTATCTGATCATCATAAATTTTAAGATACACGTAAATTTTATGTAAGATACACTAACAATTTTATGTATTAAAATCTTAAATTTTAAGAAAACGTTAATCAATTGATTATCTGATCATCATAGCTTTTACACAATAATACATTAAAGAAATATCTTCTAGAATTTTTTTTATATGTATATAATAATTTATTTGATTTTGATTATTTGGTATCACATAATCACTTCACAAATAAGTGAACGAGACCACTTCTTTGGCAACAATTTTTATAGATTAGTGGTTCAGTTATAAATAAAATGAAGTTGGAGGTAGTAACGTGTAAAAGAGGAATTACATTTTCCCTTTGGCTTCCTTGCCAATTCAAGCATTTCTTGGCTCCTCCAAATTACTTGCGGTGTATGCTAAGCTCCTGCCATTGAATCTTCGAATCGTCATCATCACAACCTGCTGATTCTCCACAAACAGTATCAATCCATTCTTCAATCAATCCGTATTGTGTTGTAATACTTGGAATTCAACTTTCGTCACCAGCGGTGTTAACCATCAAGTATTGAGCGAGCGAGAAATCGTCGTTGAAGATGTCGTTGAGGATAAAAACGGTGGTGGACAAATTCGTAGAGGAACTGAAGCAAGCTTTGGATGCAGACATACAAGACAGAATCATGAAGGAGAGAGAGATGCAGAGTTACATTGAGGAGCGTGAGCGGGAGGTCGCCGAACGTGAAGCAGCCTGGAAAGCGGAACTCTCTCGTCGCGAGGTCCGGTTTCCTTCTTTAATTATCGTTCATCATCTTCATTTTGCTTGTTCCAAATTAAGATTAAGATTAATCAAGTAATTGTCTAAACCCTACCCATGGAATAGATTTATTAGTATTGTAACTAAAATTAAACTGTGGTAGAATTAAATGAATGAAACTCGATTTTCTTCATAGATTATTACTGTATCAGATATATGAGGAGGTGATTTAGAAGATGATACAGGGGTAAAGTTTGAGGAACAGAATTTGGGTTAGTTTACTGTTTACTTGAAGATTAATTCCTTTCCTTTGATTTCATTTTGGGCAAAATGCAAGAAATAGTGAAATACTGAAATTCTTATTTAGTTTACTTGAAGATGAATTCCTTTCCTTTAACAAACAGATAGCTGATTTTCACCTATAAATCACACAACATTGTACTCTCACTTTTAATCTTATTAAGGCATTGTACTCTGAAAAACCTACCCAATCATAGCATTGTACTTCCAATTTTTTTCTTATCTAGGAAATTATGATATGCTGTAATAAACAAAATCAATGTAAGTTGGTATTTCTTGAATTAAAGTCTTGATACAAAGCATTATGTTGATGAATTATTGGTTTCAGGCAGAAATTGCTAGACAAGAAGCGAGATTGAAGATGGAAAGAGAGAACCTAGAGAAAGAGAAGAGTGTGTTGATGGGAACAGCATCCAATCAAGATAATCAAGATGGGGCCCTTGAAATTACTGTAAGTGGTGAGAAATACCGATGCCTAAGGTTCTCAAAGGCCAAAAAGTGACATCATTTTTTATATATCTTTTTAGGGTCATTGGTTATGTATATGTAGTACAATTTGATTATTTGACCATACTTGTCGTGTTTTATCAAATCTAATATGCTAACTTGGCTCACTCTAATGTGCAAAAAAAGTTTGGGAACTTTGGAAAATGAACAAGATGTAAGCAAAGTTATCACATAGTTTCCAGAAAAACAATTCTATCGATGTTATTCGTTTTCACTATGTTTTGTATTGATTAAAAGGGTGTTTGGGAATGTTTACTTAGAGGGGTTATTAGCTTATTACTGTTTGATAATGCCAGTAAGCTAATTTTAGTGTTTGGGTTGTATAAATTAGCTTATTGTGGTTTGGCAATATTTTTGCCAAGTTTCAATCTAACTTACTAGTTTAATTGTATGGGTTGCATAAAATAGCTTTATTTTAAAACAACTCATTAACTTATTATGTTTTGGTACCAAACAATTTAATCTAAACATTTCTTGTTAGATTGTGAAAGCAAATCCTTAGGGAAAAATAAGCATAATGTATTTTCGCCGGTTCATTAATTCAACCACTAAACTATTAATTTATTTATTTCAATTGTCGTCTTATAATTTGGTTCCGATTGCTATACATGGCTTTCAACTACAAAACTGACCTATAATAACTTCCCTCCACTTTGTTAAACAATTAATTGCCTTTACTTGTCTTTGTTCATCAAAGGGAAAATGTCATAAAAACCCTCACCAAAAAAATTAATAATAATAACCCGTATCCTATAATGTAACAAACGCAACCTTAGTAACCAGAGTTTAACATTGTCAGAATGTGTATTATTATGGCATGGGTCTAGTCCTTCAAGGCGTAACATTGAGGGGCGAGTTCTGCTAACCACAAATAATCAATTCTAGTAACATTGCGCACATAATTACGCGTAGTTTGAACAAGATTGTAAAATATTATGCACTCTGATTTTGCACGTCGTAGAACAGAAGTCGGGTGAATCTCCGCAATCTGACCATTTGCCAAAACCCTGTATTCCCCATCCATCATTAAATACTTGATTCATTATTCTATTCAAATTAACGTTACAAAAAAAAAAGGTTATATTATTAAATAATAAATAATACCTGTAGGTTCCATCAGGTTGCTTCAGGGCTGCATTCAGGAAATAAGCAGCAGCAAGACATCTACGAAGTGGAACCATGTCATCTCCACATGAACTTATCTTAAGTCCCATCCGTTCTACATTTTCCCGGATTTGACTGCAACAACCCACCAAAACCAAACATATATACACATAAGGGGTATTTTTGGAAGACAAAAAAAAGAAACATATAACAAGAGAATTTAGTTACATGTAAATGTCACGAGCATGCTTTAAGGAACGACTATTAATGAAGTTATCCTTGCACCATTTCCTCAAATTCTTTTCAGCTTTTTCTTTACTATTCTCCATTTTGTTCTTCTCTAAAAACTCGAGAGAAGCACGATAAACATTAAGTAAAGTAATATGGTCTCCCTCGGGGCTCGAGAATGATTTAATAACAGTTCGCGACTGAAAACAAAAATAAAAATCCGTTAGGAAAAGTAGTCAAAGTAATGAAATTTAAAATGGTGTGATGTAGGCAATAATACCTCTTCTAACTTGTCACGAGGAGCATAAAAGATGGATTCAACCGATAGCATTGCAACAACTATTAACATTTCTTCCAAGCAATCAAACTGAGAGGCAAGAATAAGAGCCTTTGAATCATTTGGCTCTAATGGAAGACGTGCCATTTGGTGTCCAATTGGATCTGATAATTTCTTTTCATCTGTTAAAGCCCCTAGCAAGTACAATAACTCCAGTGATCTAATCACAGCCATCCTGCACTCATCAATCAATCAATGATAACTAATAACAATATCTTCACCTAAATCCAGTTATATAACAAGTAAGAAAAAAAAAATACTAATATGTACTTTCACTTGTTCTTAGCATTTACCTATCTGGTTTCTCCATGAAGTCAAACCCAAGTATATCATCAACACCAAGAGCACTAAGCTGCAGAATAACATTAGAAAGGTTGCATCTTTTGATCTCTGGTATTGTGGAATCATCAAGTCCCTCAAATCTGCTCTCTGGATAAAGACGAAAGCATTTCCCAGCTCCTTCACGCCCTGCACGCCCACTGCAACATTAGAAAAAATTTTAATTTCCATCTTTTTTTTTTTTTTTTTATAATATTTGGTCTCTATAGAAGATGAAATCAATGTGCTTACCTTCTTTGAAGAGCTTGAGCTTTCGAAGTTTTAACAACAATCAGAGATTCAATGCCACTATCAGGAGAGTAACTCCTCACTTTCACCAATCCAGGATCAATAACATATTTAATTCCAGGTATTGTCACAGATGTTTCAGCAATGTTAGTTGCCAGTATCACCTACAAGTAACAAACACATCAATTCAACTTCAGGAAAGTAATTAATGGTGTAAAGAAAAAGCAAAACAAAACCACTTCTTAATAAGGACTGTAGTCTACCTTTCTGAATCCAACAGGAGCAGCTGCAAAAACCTTCATTTGCTTCTCTGATGGAAGAGAAGAGAACAATGGCAAGATTAAGACTTTCTGATTGGCTTCAGGTAATTTCTTAAGATTCTCACGCACAAGACCCTCAATAGACTCAATCTCTTCTTGCCCAGACAGAAATACAAGTATATCACCGGGCCCCTCCTCCAAATGTATCTAATAATACAACACAATGAACTTGTCAAAAGCTAACAAAGATTACAAATATCAACTCCTGTTACTAGTTTCAAGAAAAAAGAAAAAAACCTGAAATATTGTAACCAAAGCTGCATCCAAACAATCTGTCTCGGGTTGGGTGGTGTACAGAATATCCACGGGAAACTGCCGCCCCTGAACATGAACAGCTTTTGCACCACCAAAATACTCTGAAAACCCTCGTGCATCCAAACTAGCAGACATGATGATTAACTTTAATGGATTTAACTTTCTTACTAATTGTGGCTTCACAACACTAACACTGCTACCTTCACCTTCACCATTATTTTCTTCCTTCACCAGTGTTCCATTGTTATTAGATTCACTCAAAGTTTTTTGAGATCTCTTCTTTTGTACATCTTTCAGCAACCCTAAAAGCACATCTGTCTGGACTGTTCTCTCGTGAGCTTCATCAACAACTATAACTGAGTATCTTGAGAGATAGGGGTCCAAAAGTGCTTCCCTGTGATTATACATGTAGCCTTTATCAGCTTAATATGGTACTACATTACATTAGCTTTTTAGTTGACAAGAATGCAGGATTATATGCTAACCTCAATAGCAATCCGTCTGTCATGTATTTGATTCTTGTTGAGGCAGAGGTCATGTCTTCAAACCTAATGGAGTACCCAACTTTTTGGCCTAACTCAACACCACATTCTTCAGCTACACGTTTTGCAACAGTTACTGCAGCAACACGTCTTGGTTGAGTGATTCCAATTGTTCCTCCATCGCGACAAAACCCTCCATTGAACAAGTACTGGGGCAACTCTGTCAGAATGAAAATCAAACACTCATATATAGCTTAATGGATTAAGTCATGTTCTTGTTGAGTTCATTAAGTCAACAAGAAACAACACGTAGAATGGAAGAGATTACTCACGTGTGGTCTTCCCGCTTCCGGTTTCACCAACAATTATCAAAATGTCATTTTTCCGGACCTCCTCTACAAGTCTTTTCTCAACTAAACAAATTAATAATTGATCAGTGAGAAAAACATCTAATGTACATAACAATGAGAAGAACAAAAGGTATCATAATAGTAACTGCAAATCTCTAGCATAAGGTCTTAATCATATTGAAGTTAACAAAATTGGTAAGGTTATGTTAGCTCTAACGAGCTTACAGTGAAATTGACTACTTTTCATAAACGTTTACAAGATGAGAAACTAATTCAACTTCAAATAGCAACTGATTGACACAATTACAGCAAATTTGGTTTCAAATAACAAGTAGGAACTTAAACTGTTGTATGGGGCAAAAGAAATTTAAAAGTGCAGCATATCCATATCAAGTGTGCTGTATCGAACAGGTGTACCTGAAGCAATAGGCAAAGATCTTCTCTGTTGCTCAATCTTCTGTCTCCTGAGAGAATATTAATTCAGCATTTCGAATGCGTTAATTAACAAACAGATAATGCGTATTTGGTTGTGTGAGAGTTTGAAATGGACCTGGCAAAAGAGTCGGATTTCTGATCGCCGTTAAGGAGTTTAGGACCGAATTGAGGATGCTTGTTGGTGCCATTGCTGTTGGGATTGAAGTTTCTTCTGTCTCCGGTAGCCATGGAAGGCATCTCCCAGGCGAGAGAGTAAAAGGGGTTTTAGTGGAGACCGGAGGGACTCACCGAAAGAGGGCCGGCCAAAGGGTTAAAATTTGGTTTTATAAACCGGGACACGTCGCAGACCGGGGCCAACAAACACGGAACAATTAGGTTTGAAGTTTGATTTGTAGCATTTAAACCGGTTAAACAACGGGGGTCTTTGAAGTGGATGCTGATTATTTAAAGAGTGATTACAGAGATAGTCCCTTTGGTTGGTAGATTTTGCAGTTTTAGTCTCAGTTTCTAGATTTTGTCACAAATGGTCCCTATTGCATATTTGGACAACCCATTTAGTCTCTGTCTCGGTTACCGCTTAGGTTGCTCCGTTAATAATCCTCACACAAGGCCATTTTAGTCATTTCATGCTAACCTCTTGACGGCATAAAGACTATAATTCGTTTTCAATTCCATTAACTTCCAAAACTTGATATAAAAACTTTCATCAAAATCTTAGGGATACAAAACAAAGCTTTTGGATACATACATGTTCATCAAAAATACTTTCGTAAAAAAACACTTCCATCGAAGGCCTAAATGTATATATAGCTGTTTTTGTTTTTAACTTGAACACAATGACTACTAAACTAGGTTTAAAAAAAAAAAAAAACAAAAAAAACTTAGTGTATGAATACGTTAACTCTTGTATCTATTTGCCTATCCTTTTTCCTCCAAACTTATAAGCCACATTACTTACCATATAAGACTTAATGAGGAAGTGTTTTTTTACAAAATCATTTTCTTTTTTTATCCTGCAACTCATCAATTTCTTTTCAATCCACTAACAAGCAATTCTTCAATCAATCAGTAAATAATTACAATTTAAGGTATCTGTAAAGTTAATGTGTGCATATATAGTATATACGTATGGAGATGCTATTGATCCCCTTGTACATCTCTCATGCTGATATTAAGACTGTTTCTCATTGTTCTTCTTCCAATTCCAGCATTTCCTTTTGTCATCATGGCCACAAATTCCCCATAATCGATCC